CCCCGTCTCTTCTCTTCGGCCCCGCTGATGAGAGTTTGAAGTTGGACTGAGTTTGAAGTGGATGTTCTATGATTAGACTTGATGAGGCTTGGACCTGTGTGTGTCGTGTGACATTTCATTGCATTTCGTCGTTCCTGGCTCCTTGCTGTCCCTCTTTGTGGCCTCGCCTGGCCGCTCCTCACTGCCGCTGCTCTTCTCCTCAGGAGCAGGAGTTCCTGCAGAAGCAGCAGCAGGAGCTGGACGGCGCTCTGAAGAAAATCATCCAGCAGCACAAACTAGAAATAGCCACCATCGAGAGGGACTGCCTCAACCACAAACAGCAGCTGCTCAGAGGTAAGGAAGCCGAGGAGGAGCCATGAAACTATGTTTTTTTTTTTTTTTTTTTTCCTCCTAGGTTTTTCAGAACGCCTTCACCGTCTTCTGCTTCCAGAGATTATGCTTTGTTTCTCTTTTCTGACACTTTTCCATTTATGCTACATTTGATTGCAGCTTGCAACAAGAAAAACAATTGAGTTCTGTCTGTTGGGACTCGATGGACGGCATCTCGGCAAAAAGAAAATCCTTGAACAGTTTCAGTCGTTCCACTGAAAAGATGAAACTCATGTGATGTGTGGCTTTGTTCCACTCAGTGATGAACTTTATAGTTAATTTTTTATGATGAAACCTAAAATTCAATTTCTATGAAAACTATATATAGTATTTAAAAAAAGAACTTTAATTAAAAATAAAAGCCTTGTTTTGATCCAGAGATCCACAAACATCAGTCTACTCGGATGTCTGGTGATGAACATAAACCTGGTGTGACAACACGCGGTTTGGCCACTTTTACATGATTTACTGCGTCAGTGCGGCATGGCATGCCTAGAGTCAACATAAACAAAGACGTTGACAATCAACCAGACGTGCTGCACACGGTCCAACTTGCTTTAGTTTCCCTCCTGTCCAGCATGTTTGCTAACCAGAACACGTCCGCAGCCCTGCCTTCACATTCTGGTGTGTTCCGCAGCACGAGAGGCAGCGATGTGGGAGCTGGAGGAGCGCCACCTGCAGGAGAAGCACCAGCTGCTCAAGCAGCAGCTGAAAGACCAGTACTTCATGCAGAGACATCAGCTGCTGAAGCGACATGAAAAAGTAACGGGTTAGAGAAGCACATGCAGGTTTTCGTCGAACATACTAGATTTGTAAAAGTTTGCGTTTGTGGTAGGAAATGGAGCAGATGCAGCGCTACAACCAGCGGTTGATAGAGGAGCTGAAGAACAAACAGAATCAAGAGAGGGTCCGCCTGCCCAAAATCCAACGCAGCGACGCAAAGACCCGCATGGCCATGTTCAAGAAGAGCCTCCGCATCACCGTCGTCGCGGCCATGACGCCAGACCAAGAGAGGGAACGCATAAAGCAGGTGCAGAGTCACACTCCCGTCTTTCACCGAAGGAGAAGTACTTTGGTTTTTCCCCCTTTTTATTCTGTATCCACACTAGCTCACCTCCTTATTTGTTTTTGCTTTTCACAAACATTCGTTTTAAATAAAGCCGTGCGATTCTTCTGCTCTCCGTCTAGTTTGCCGCGCAGGAGGAGAAGAGGCAGAAGAACGAGAGACTCCATCAGCACCAGAAACACGAGAACCAGATGAGGGATCTGCAGCTGCAGTGCGACTCCAACATCCGCGAGCTGCAGCAGCTGCAGGTCACACTGACACACTTACACTCACCGACACGTCACTCTGAAGCCAATAGAAGCCCAACACTAAAAGTCTGCCCTGTCAATTGGTTGTTGGTTGTAGCAAAACATATTAGGAATTAATTGCTTACAACTGGAAGTGTTTATTTCCCCCCTAAAATGCACAACATGTACGGAAAATGTAGTGTCGAGATGAGGATGTGTTCATGAAAACCGGGTTAAAAGCCCCATTCTCTGCTGCAGTGCCCCCTGCTGGACAACTTGTGTCAACTAGCACTGTCTGGCTTTAGCTGTTTAATAATGTTTTAATGTCCTTAAATTTGCATGTTCAGACCCATTAGAGACTCGTGTGGTTTCTTACCATACCTTTTTTATTCTGCATTTCTGTTTCAAGTTTTGTTGATACATTACTTTAATAAATATATGTTTAAGAGCTTTTTTCCAAACAGTTTGAATTTGAATCCAGAATCAAGATGTTTTCTTCATTTCCTGTAAAGTATTTTTTTGGAGATGTGTGGTTTCTTTCTGACAAGGCTGCATTTGTACAGGGAGAATAAACAGGCACAAAAACATAGCATTACATTAAGTATGCTTTTAAAAAAAATAATGAATAGGTTTTACTAAAGATATTTTTATTTTGAGCTGATTTTTTTTTCTCTGATTTTTACATTGAAATTACTGCAGACGAATAGAAAAACTGACTTTCTACGCTAATGGCACAGATAATGCAGCAGTTTAAAAGCAGAGCAGAGAGTTGTTTGGATATGAGTGCATAAAAAAAACCAGAGTTCAGCACCGATTCATGTTAACGTCGTTCTCTTACCTCGTTTTCAGAACGAGAAATGCCACCTGCTTATTGAACACGAGACCCAAAAGCTGAAGGAGCTGGACGAGGAGCACAGCCAGGAGATAAAAGACTGGAGAGAGAAGCTGAGACCTAGGAAGAAGGTATGCTCTTCGGTCATAAAGTCACTCACAGCAGGTTTCTTTCAGCAGAATTTGCATTTTACGGCCGCTTTTCGCTGCTTCCCTGCAGGCGCTGGAGGAGGAATTCACGCGGAAGCTCCAGGAGCAAGAAGTCTTCTTCAAGATGAGCGGGGAATCCGAATGCCTTAACCCCACCACCCAAAGCCGGGTGTCCAAATTCTACCCCATCCCAAACCTGCAGAACTCGGGTTTATAGCCTCATGTTTATGTTCCTCAAAGTAAACTCCAGTCAAACTTTTATCTCTCCCCCACCCTGTATCCCCGATGGGAGTTTTTTTTGTTGTTGTTGTTGTTGTTCTTTTTGTCTCTGATAAACATTGAAATGTAATTTGTGCTTTGATTCTGCAGTCAGTGAGCTTGATGTGCCTACACAACGTTCCCTCACCTAAAAGCATTTTCTCAGCCTGCTGGGAAATATCTAAGTAATATGCACTTTTTTGAGCATGAGAAGATTTCCAAGGTTTGCGGTTGTTAGCTAAGATCAGCCATGCTTGTCAGATTATTATAAGCACAGCCTGCAACAGCATAAATAATCTCCAGTGCCTCACACACGCACACACACATGCCCTCCCCGCCCCATTTCTGACATTTTTACCGCTCGCAGTAAATAAACGAAACCCTTGAATGTTTTGCACTTAAACAAAGCGGTTGTCCCTGTTGCACTTCACATTAGCTGGTGATCAAATCCATTTGGGGGGAAAAAAAAAAATAAAAAATCTGTGGCTGCATGTAAAGTAGATCTGGGAGAAGAAAAGAGGAGTGTATTTACTGTGCATACCGCATCTAATGTCATAGGGCATCAAAAAAAAAAAACCCCGTCATAAAGCTGTATCCAAAAAAAACTATTGCGTACCGTGTTCGTGTGACTACAGAATAATCGAAAACTGTGCTTACCAACAGCATTTCTGTCTCCTCCAGAGACAAATTGATGAATTTATTTACGACATACTGTTACTCTCCCTCACCCCAAAGTGCTGTAAACACCGCTGTCCTGTTCGAAGAATATAAATAAGGTCACTTATTTGGAGCAGCGTTCGCACAAACAGATGGTTTGTTGTAAACTTTGAATTGTAGAGGAATGTAACTGCACTGGTTCGCCACTTGAGTTGAAGAATATTCATGAAGGTTCAGAGACTTGATCCTTTGCCTCACAGAAGCCTATCGAAACTCCAGATGACTGTAATGTTTCAGAGGTTTTTTTTCTGTTTAGTTACTGCGCTCGATTTTATTTTGATTTTTTTTTTTTTTGCATCGTTTTAGTTTTCTAACGCTTCTCTACCTTTGATGCTGTCGTTGCTTATCAGAGTACCTGTTACTGTATGAATGTCAGCATCTGAAGCTTTCAGCTGTGTGTTACATCATCATATTACTTTGTTGCTGCTCTGTGGTATATTTTCTATAAGATGACTTGAACATCATTTTTTTATGAATGCTGGATTCTTCTTAGTTCTTAGATTTTTTTCTTTTTTTTTTTTTTTACATTTTTCTCAGTTGCATCGTTTTCAAGCGTCACTCTCCCATCATGAATTTTCCCGTTATATGCATTTTTGATGTCGGATCTAATGTATTTAATGCATCTCTATAAAATGCCCATTTTCTTTTCTTGTAAATAAAACCTTGACTGTTTATTTGAAGACTTGACTGAAACTGTTTGTAAAATAGTCATAAAAATACAAAGACTCCCAAATCCAAAAATAGATTTATTATTTAATTTATTTTTTTTTTTTGGGCCTTTTTAATCCAAAAGGTTCATCCATGTTTATAATTTACTCTCTCCAACACTTAAAAGGCATATAGAAAATATCAAATTCAGTGCTCTTACACAAAAATATACAATTAAATCAGTCGTGTCTTTCCGAGTCCATCTCGACAATAATACAAACATATTTCTCTTCTTTATACCAACAAAACCTTTCAAGTAAATCTCAAACCTTCGTAAAATGACCCTCACTTTGAGGCCGAGACTAGCTCGTGTTTTTGTTAGAGGCCGAACGGTTTAAAATATTTTTTACAGGGCCAATGCGAAATAAATGCTTTTCAACGCTTCCTATAGTCCTCGATACATATAATCCCCAAATGTCAGCAAATATAAAAAGTAAAAAGAGCAGACGCTTGCATTTGAAATAAAAAAAAAGCAACCGCCGCTTATTGCTTGGCAAAAGCTTCCCCCAGGCTAAGGGAACATAAGCTTCTAACTAAGCAAAGTAAACATTACACACCCACAAGTTGAACAGTGAAGTCTGAGCCTTCTAAAAACCACAGGCTAACACCTCTACAAGAAGCATTTTTTTAAAGAGATGAATGCTTTGTTTTTATTATTTTCCCAAACCAACCTGTCTTGGAAAGAAACAGTAAAGAGCATATTTGTACAGTTTAACAACTAAAATCTTAAAAAGGAACCAAGAAACAAACAAACAATTAAAGCTGATTTGGAATATTGCGTCGGCCAGCAGGACGGCCTTCAGCCGAAGCCGGCTTGAGATCGACGACGCTTTCGACGAACCGCCACTTTATCGCCTGCATAAAAAATAAAAAAAAACGGTTCAGATATTTGATTTGTATGGGTTTTTTTTGTTTGTTTTTCACATATTTGATCTTTTAGATGATATCGGATGTTTCCACTGAAGTTACCTGCTTCTCTCTTTTGCACTTTGTGTGGAATCTGAACAGTGAGGGGCGCTGGGATTCCAGGTAAACCTGGAGGTCCCGGATCACCTGTGATCAAACCGAATCTCTTCGCTTTAGTTTTATGAAAAATCGCTATTAAAAAGGTGCAGTGTTTCATCAGGTTTGTGTAAATCTTACCCTTGTCTCCTTTGGGTCCTGGATACCCTCTGTCTCCCTTTAGACCTGGGCTTCCTGGCGGGCCGGGAACGGTGCCGTGTCCTGAGAAAACAAAACGAGTCGTTTAAAAATATTTGCCTGATGCCACGTTGTTATCTTCCTGTTTTTGATGAAGCTGGTGGAAAGCTTAAACTCTGCATCCTCACTCCTGAAGAAGTCCATGAGGTCAGCTGTGACGTTGCCGTAGGAGCCAATCACACGGCTGTGGCCGGGCGGTCCTGGAGGGCCCGGAGGACCTGGGGGTCCTTGAATTGCTCGGACGTTTGTCCTCCATGAACCGTCGGAGATGTACTGCTGCAGCAGGCCTTGATCTGCAGGAGAACCAGACATTTTACCATCCTATCAGAAGATGCAGAAACCATTTATTTTATTAGTGTCAAGAATGGAAATTTTATTATGTTTTTAAAAGGTATGATGTTAATAATCACCAAATTTCCTGCGCATTTAGAGAGAGTATTGAGAAAACCTCGCAGCAGCTGTTGTCCACTCACTCTTAATGTAGTCTGTAACTTTCATGGCGACGTTGGAGTAGTCGAGCATCTCGGTGAGCCTGCTGACATCGACGTCTCTGCGCTGGGAGCCGTAGCGATCGTCGCTCTGTTGTTGGTAGCTCTGGCTCTGAATGTAGCTCTGGGAGTAGCCAGGCTCTCCGCGATCTCCCCTCTGACCCTTCGGACCTTGAGGACCTGGAGGCCCGACAATGGTACGTCGAACGCTGTCACCTGGAAAAAAAAAAAAAGGATTTGAGGTTGAACGTGGTATGGCGGGTTTGCCATGTGTGCTTATTCTGAACACGACCTTCTGACCCGTGTCAATTAATTAGCATCAGTCCTTTTGTTAGAGAAATCAGCAGGTCACTGGAATCAAACAGTTTTCAGCTTGATCCGTTTTCTTCAACCATTTTACGCACCATGTGTAAGTACAGATTTTTCTAACACTGTTCAGTGGGGAAGTTGTTATTCTAAGAGGCTCAGAGTGGGGCTGTTCTCAGGCCAGAGAGTTTAAGAAAATAAAATAAGTCAGAGAAGCAACATGCAAGACACTGCAGAAGGGAGCCATGTTTTCTAAGACATGTTGCGGCTCTTTTAGGTTGCAGAAGAGCGAGAGAGAGCAGGACTTTCAGCAGTCAACAGAAAGGCTGAAAGGATGCAGCAAAATTGGTATTTTTATCCTTTAAAACTTAAAATATAAAATGTTGGCTATTAAACCATTTGCGTGTGTGTGTGAGCTGTTAGATTCTTACTAGACAGATACTGTTGAATTTCAGCGCGGATGCTCTCCCGAGGGAAATTTCCACTGTAGGTCACTGATCCGGTGACAGCGCCCGGTGGCCCCTGGGGACCTGGGGGGCCCGGGGGTCCAGGGAGACCTCTGAATCCAGAACCTGAGACGGAGCACAGTAAGATCAAATTACACACAGGACTCAAATTTATGCTCATTAAAGTAGACAAAGTTGTGAAACACGAAGTTGATTTGGTCGTCATCTTTATTTCTTGTTGCTTCGACGATGTGAACATGTACTAGACCGGAGAAATTTTATAACGCTGACTCTGCATCTCTAAAACTGTCCGTTTTAAATACAAAATGTCGACCCAGACTCAAATGGGCTTTAGTTCGTTGGTTTCTCTCAGACTCACCCTGCAGGTAGCGCTGAATTTCCTCCAAGCTGTAGCCACGACTTCCCGATCCGTACACCGTCGCCGTGGAGATCCCTGGGGGCCCCTGAGGACCAGGAGGCCCTGGCAGCCCTGGGACACCTGGAGGACCAGGAGGACCTTGCTGCACAGCGGAAGTGATCCAGGAACGGAAATCTGAATCTGCGTAGATGAAGATGGTGATTAGTTTCCACTCTGTGTCTGTAAAGACGGATTAAAAAAACTGACAGAGCGCTCTCACTTCGGATCAGAGCCGAGTAGTCGATGGTAGCGGTGGTGAAGCCAGAGCCTCCTGCGCCTGGAGCTCCGGGGGGGCCCGGTAGACCTCGTGGACCTGGCGGGCCTCTCGCAATCCCCCTCTCTGAACGTCATAGTAACCTCAGTGATTGACCTCACCTCCCAAGGTTACGGATTTCTGCTGTGAGCTCCTCTTACCGTTCATGATATTGAAGACATATGTGGCTACCTCCTCTATTCTGTAAGTGCCGGAGAGTCCTCCTGAGGCCCCTGGGGGTCCGGGAGGTCCTTGAGGCCCAGGTGGTCCAGACAAATATCTTCTCACGTCATCTCCTAGACATTTCAAACCACAGATCAGACTGATGCACCCTATGAAACTTCAGTGTCTGCATGGTGCAACATCAGGATAAGGTAACGACACAATGGATTTCAATGAATTTCAGTTTTTCAGTCGCCCCACATGAGGAAAGTCATTATATGGCGACCATTGGTGTCAATACTTTGTAGACATTCTTTCAGCCAATAGAAGAGAACATGGTTTGATCCTGTAGCGGCATATGAAGAGGGACCTTTGAGTATTTTCCTTGATCAACGAAGGCCAGTCGTCTCTTGCTAATTTTAAATGTGTCTTTGCTTCGACGAAGCTGAATCAAATAATTCTGTCATAACAGGAGTCTGTAAACCCTGACTGCATGCTAAGGATGCAAGTGTGTTTAGACCAGGAACACATCTAATAGCTGCAGGACACCAACTGTTGAAGTTCAAGACCTCTGCTCCAGATCGTCTACAGCCCTGCATCTTTGATTCCCTCTTCTCTTCTTGCTCCGTTCGCTAAGCCCATTTTATAGTATTCAGTGTTGAGAAGGAAGTTGAGTTTGTATTTGCTGAACCGTTTTCTCTGTTGATTTGTCGTCATGTTTCAGGTGATTCTACTGCTGAACACAGACCTAAATAACCAGTCTACAGTTTTCGGGTAAAAAGGCACAAGAACTTAAAACGGCTTCAAGACTCAGGCCTTGTCTCTGGAAGCCTGTGAAGAGAAACAGGCCCACAGCATTACGGTTCCTCCACTGTACTTCACAATAGGAACGATTTGTTTTTCTGTTTCATCGTTTCTAGTCTGATAATTTTTTTTTTTTTAGGACTGAGAAGAAGTTCTTATGATGAACTCGGCAGATGTGCAGCTCCACCGGGCATTTGCTAACTGCTACTGCCGCTAGTCTAGTTGAGCATGGTGGAAATAGGCGGTGCTTTGTGAAAGCAAGCGTTTAGGCATGCCTGAATGGTTGCCAAGGGAGATTAAAGGATTTCTCAAACATGCATGAAAAATCAACACACTCCAAGTGTGTTTTTGATGAGGGAATAACTTTATAGCATAACACAAAGCTGAAAAAAATCGTTTTACATAACACCTCCCCTTAAAAGTACAAAATGTTCTGAGATTAGGTTGATGTACCACATATACATTCACCTTTTGAGGCTGCCTAACTTACATTTTCACCAGGGATGTCTGTACATCTTTTAGTGAGCTGTTTATGTACTCACTCTGAAGCATGGCGATGAGAGCGCTGACGGTCAGGGAGCCAGAGGCAGGCCCAGGAGGACCAGGCGGTCCTGGAGGTCCCTGAATGCCGATGCTGAAGCCTGAGTCTGAACCTACAGGTCCACAGTTAAACATGGTTACAAACAGCCAACCGTGACCTTTCCTAAAGGTCAAAGGTAGCTCCCCTTTATACGACCGATATCAGGTCTTACGTCGCAGGTATGCAATGATGCGAGTAGCGATGTCGTCTATAGATCCTGAGAAGGTTCCTGGGAGTCCTGGAGGCCCGGGTGGACCTGGAGGGCCAGGTAGACTGCTCAGTCTGTATCTACCTGTATGGACCAAAAACCAAAAAAAGGCATGTCAGTAGTTTGTTCCCGTCCTCTAACTCCCTTGTTCTTGGACAAAAGACGTACTCAGGTAGTCTGAAATGTACTGCCGCATCTCGGTGGAGGAAGCGAAGGAACCTGGGAGGCCGGGAGGTCCTGGGGGTCCTGGGGGCCCAGCGGGGCCCGAGGTGACTGAGACTGAACCTGGAAACATAAGACAGTCTGTGTTTTGTTTTATTGTTTTTTGTTTTTTTTTCTCACAGGATAAAAACAATCAGTGAACAAGATTGAAGAGTATTTAGGATCAACATTTTGAAAATCCCCACCTCTTGATGCGCCTGGAATTCCTGGAGCTCCAGTGTCTCCTGTCAAAGGAAAAACACACACGTGTGTGATCATCATGAGTCCTCAAATAAAACACAAACAACAAAGCAACGAGGCGATTCATGCATCTCAACGTCTTATCGGCTTTACCCTTCACTCCAGGTAACCCTGGGAGACCAGGAGGCCCCGGTGGACCCGGTGGTCCAGGAACCGTGTTTCCTCCATACGCAACGGAGCTTCCTGCTCTTCCTGGCGTCCCAGGCACGCCCGGTGGGCCTTGCTCACCTGAGGCACATGTGACAGTCACTCGTGTCAAACATGGTGGGTGTTTCATCTTTAGCCCCACACATTAAAATCTGTGCAACCTTCGTAAATGTGAACTACAGAAAGCACCTGTGTATCCGCGGGGTCCAGGAGAGCCTGAAACAAACAAGGTGACTGAGTGTGAGCAAACCTACAACGTCAGAACACGGAGGTGGATTTATAACCATGATCACCTGTTGCTCCTTTAGGTCCAGGCTGTCCAGGAGGTCCTGGCGGTCCAGAATAATATGTTCCTATAAGCAGAGCAGCAGAAAAGTCTGTGTCACAAGAAGGCTGGGAAGTTCCAGCAAACTACAGAAACTAAATAATAAAAACTAAAGACAAGCTGATGCTTTGGATTTTACCTGAGCTGGATGCGAAACCCACATCTCCCTTTTCTCCTTTAGGTCCTGGTATCCCATAACCTAAAGAGCGATACGTAATGGCATTTACCCGGACATTGTATCATCATCATCATCATCTTGTCTGCATGTGTTGTCGTAACAACTATTGCAGAAGTGAATATGAATGCTTACCTGGAGGCCCTGGTGGTCCTGGAGGTCCTTGTCTCGAGTCGCCTGATGAAAGCACAAAATGTCAGAAACCATCTGAGTCAGCGGGATTCGAGACGCCGCCTGATCTCTCTCTCTCTCTCACCTGGACGTCCGGGAGGCCCAGGTGGACCCGGTGGCCCAGGTATGCCATGGAAAGAGGAGCTTCCTCCAGCACCAAACTGCCCTGAAGAACAAACCAAGAATAAAATGTTTTAAAAAAAAAATTTACTTTTGCACCACAAGTTTGAAAAAGAAAAAACTCCCTGAATTCTCTAGCAATTATAGAAAGGGAAGCGACAAAGATGCAGGTAAAGACTTCAATCAAAATCCCCCCGATCAGACTTTCACCTCAAGCACTCAGATCGAATTAACTGTTTCACATTTCATCCATAAAACTCGGTGAATGCTATCGGGATTTATCTGCTAAACCAACAGTAAGTGTTGCGCATCTGTAAGGCGAAGGAGAACAACGTTCCCCTGAAACTACAGCAGCAGCTGATTCAGAGTCTATCAGCGCTGAGCATCTAGAGAAACCATCATTGTTCATTCTTCTTTGCTAAATGGCTCACCCTCAGTTAGACTGAATTTGAAGCATCTGTGAACATACCAACATACCAAAATCCATCAGCTAGATGTAGGTCTCGACTTTGACTGGGACATTTTAGTTGAATGTTAATCTAAGCCGTTCTTTTGCACCTGGCCATATGTTAAAAAAGGTTTGCACTGTAGTGGAAGGTGAGCTTCTGGCCTCCTGAACAAAAGTGTTCCCACGTCATGATGCAGCCACCGCCATGCTTCACTTCACAGTGAGTTTCCTACCAGCTACGAAGATGTTTTCCAAAGCATTTCTCAGTTGTGTGCCGTTGACAGATCGAAAGAAATGTGTTTTGATGATTCACTCGGAAATCGGTGTTCAAAAGTGTGACTTATAAATTAAGCTGCGGTCAAAGTATGTTGGTTTGTTGCAGATTGAGAGCAGATATAAGATTTACTGTTATATAAACACCACCAGTGAGCGGCAGCATGCAAATAAGTGACGAGATACACAAAGAAGACTTCTAAATATGCAGCGTTCACAACCACAACGTCAGAAAACTTTACGACTTAAATATAATGTTTTTAGTTCAAAAAAGAAAGAGAGATTTACGTTCAGCGTACTCTGCGTTAGATTAAATTGGAAATTCATCTGCAGGAAGATTAGAAAGGACTCACTCTCTGCTGTAGATGAATATATGGTTTCCCTGGTTGTCCCAGTCTCTCCCTGCTCTCCCTTATATCCTCTGTCACCTTTAGGACCTGCAGGGTCAAGTAGAAGATGACACCTATCAGACTTGGCATCTAAGAGCAAAATGTTCAAAACAAAATGAAAATATGTGTCTACAGCAACCTACCAGGTGGGCCAGGCAGACCAGCAGGGCCAATGGGACCTGAAGAGATGGATTTAAAACATCAGCTGGTTTCTACTTGCAGCAGTCACCAGATTCAACGGTCTATCATATAGGATGACAAAAACTTTTCAGGAATCATTTCTGTGAGAGAGAGAGAGAGACCTGACAGTCCCGGAGGACCAGCGGGACCCGGGGGCCCAGCAGGTCCAGGTGGCCCTGGGATGCCAACAGAAGTAGAGCCGGCTGGGAAACGACAGAGATCACTGCACCGTTAGCTGCTAATCTCACCGAGTGTGTCGAAACGTGTTTTGTCATTATAATTTCCTTCACCTGCGTTGATGATTCGTCCAGCTTGACCGGGCTCACCTTAAAAACACAAACGCACGTCAAACAGCTGAAAAACAGTCACTGAAAGGAAAGCTCTGCAGGAGCACAGCAACTGTACCTTTGGCTCCTGGTCGGCCGGGATTTCCTGGAATTCCTAACAACACAAAGAACAGTGTCGACGTGGAAAACATTACAGGAATGAAAGCTGACTTTAAAAAAAAAAGAGGTTCTGTTAAGGTCAGAAGCACTTGATATCTTTCTATCTAATTTGCAGTTGTTTCATTCTCTGTGTATTTGAAAATTGGTTTTCCCAGCAGTCCCGGCAACAGAATCCAATATGGCAGCTGCTACGTAACTCGGTTACAGTTTCAGATGTAACCTGTTTATTGGTATTTCTGACTGTTTTTCATGAAACCAGTGGCAGACAGTGCTGTGCCATTCCTGAACATGGTCCTTTTGTATTTGACTGCAGGGAGAGAAATTGATTGCTATTGTCTTGTGTTGCTTATAGTTGCTTGGCCAAGACCAAACTACAAATCCAACTGGTTTTCTGACTCGTAATTAAAATGTGCACCAAATGTGAACATGAGGACAGTTTTAATGGTTGATAGAATAAGGATTTCGTTGAGATCAGGGTTTTTTTCTGTGTGTGTTGTAGAAGTTTCCTTTGGTCTTGGATGAGACATCATCTCTAGTCTCCAGGGGCAACCAAACTGAATCTTTGAGATTTTGAGTGGTTATGTTGTTTTAACAGAACTTCAGTTCAAAAATCTCTAACCGTCTTTTTAAACAAAAAGAACTGAATTAGTGTCCTTGATTTTTGTGCTGCTTCCTTAAAAAGACGCCTACCTGGTGGTCCTTGAAGCCCTGGTGTTCCTACAGGGGGAAGGAGACAACGTGTGTTACAGCAATAGAAAATAAGCATGTGGTCAAACAACGAATATGTCAAAAGAAGGGATTTGACCTGGAAGTCCGGCATCTCCAGGAGGCCCAGCAGAACCCCTGAGTCCAGGCGGGCCAGGTGGTCCCTGGTCACCTGAAGCCCATAAAACAAACAACTGAATTCATGATGACCTCAGGTCGAAGTGTTTCAGACATTTTTGGGAGATAAAGTTCAGTGTGGGATTGTGCTGCTGCGATAATATATTTAATTTACCTCTTGATCCCTTTTCACCGTCTTGTCCAGAAAGTCCTGACGATAAAAAGCAAAAAAGTTCATCATTTCGAAAATAAACCCACAAAAACAAGAAGTCGCATAATGATCATGTTTATTGCTTCCAAGCAACCAGTGAGGATCCAGTTAATAGTCTGGAACAGCAAAATGATGTCAGATTCGATTAGTTAGTCCTGCGACTCACCCATGGATCCTTTGGAGCCTTTCTCTCCTGCTGGTCCTGGTAAACCAGGTTCCCCTGATAAGCAACACATCTGGATCAGTAAAGCCACGCAGGCCGAACCAAGTTCATGACAATTCACAGAGCTGTGCTCACCTTGCAGACCTCTGGATCCCTTTTCACCTGTTTCACCTAGAATCCAGAATGAAATAAAACGGATCCAGATCATTCGCTGACTCCACATTATGTCTGAAAGTAAGAGGAGAGCTGCAAACCTTTGAGTCCTTGGAATCCAGCAAGCCCTCTATCACCTGCAAGAGAGAAAGAGAAATCACCAAGAGCGCCATACACAACATAGAAACAGTTAACATTTGCTTTTGTTGTTATTTGTGAGCGGGTGAATCGTGTGTAAAAAACCAACCTTTTGGTCCAGGTAGTCCTGCCTCACCACGGAAACCCTGGGGACCTGGTTGACGTACAAGAAACCAAGAATGGAGAACATCAAATCACACTATCAGCTACTAAAACTGGGAAAGTGTGCATGTATGAAAGAAAGAAACTGACCAGGTGACCCGTGTAACCCTTGAATTCCTTGTGCACCTATGGACAAAACAAAGCATAAATCACCATGACTACCTGACTCTGCGTCTGCAGCGTTCAGTGAACATCTATTTTACAAAAGGAACGCCTGCTGCAGCGGAGCAAGAGGAGGAGTCGGGTAACACCTCTCGCCTCAAATAGGATGTTACATCATTGTCTCAATAAACATGAAGCGTATCAAAAGGTCCATGTATTTCAGATTTATTACATTGACGCATCTCAAGCATTTATTTATGTTTATTTTGGTGAATATGGCTTACTGTTAATGAATTACTGCAGGCGAGATGTTCAGCAAACTTAGCCTCTAAAGGCATTTGATCTCTGTGATTGTGCTCGCTCACTTTTCCCTTCCATTCAACTTCCCATATATAGGTAAGGTGGAGCACAGCATTGTCATGAATCCCAAAATATTGTCTCTTGAGTATTCAAAAGTTAAAAATTCTCCAATGGCTGCTGCACATGAGCTGCTACATTGTATTGCTTATAACAAAAACATATTAAAGTTTAATCCATTCCTCACTAATATGTAAATATGTGCTGGACAACTAAGAGTCCAATAATCTCATTTGAGTTTATGTATGTATGTTTATGTAAATAGTTGTGATTGAACATTTTTGAGTTAACAATCATTTTTGTTGGTCTCATGTAAGAGAGAAACTGTATTTTGCTGCAATGGAAAAGTCAGTTTCATGAGTATGATTATGTACATTTACTTTTCAACAATATTCTAATGTCTTATGGCGCACAGACGAGAGGACAGTTTACCTCTCGATACGTGAAATCCCGACTCTTTAGTCTTTTATGTCTGTGCACCGACGCAGAGCTTTGGAAAGTCTCACATTATTTACTTCCCTTTACTTTGCTCACGTCATGCCTGTTAAGTTACACCACTAACCTCGTCGAGGCATTGCGACTGAAACAAACTCAAAGTGCATCCTGGGAAATGCTCAGCCAGGTGGTTAATAATGATGTACTTCATTTGACTGATGTTGCGTATCAGCAGAGCTGTGATGGTTGACTCTCTGACAGGCCACTCTGTGACTCGGCTGCATGTTTTATTTGCACATAAAGCGGGTAAGTGTGATCTGATTAGTGAGCTCCACTTTCATCTGAAACTGGGAAGGTTGTTAATAAAGCCTCTGAACAAGGCTTGAATACAAAATGACTCCACACTGCCATCTGGTGGCATTTTTAGTTCATGCACCAAAGAAGGCTCTGGATAGAAACATCCGGTCTTACTTCATCTAGTTATTTATTTTCTACAGAATTTGACCTTCATTTCCGCTGATGTTACCTTTTTGTCCAGGGGCCCCAGCAGGTCCAACAGATCCAGCTTCACCTAGAGAAACCCAAACACGAGATCATGAAGAAACCCCCTTGCTTCTGAACCGGAAATACTACAGTAACGGCCTACAGCCCCTACACAGAGCCATACCTTTATCCCCTTTGAGTCCAAAGCCTGCAGGTCCTGGGTCGCCTCTAGGCCCAGGTGGTCCTTCGCGACCCCTGATACCTGGTGGCCCTTCCACTCCATGCTCACCTGACCAGACATTTTTGGATTAAAGTCATCAGTATACACCAACCAATCAGTACCACAATAGAACATAGTGCAATCTCTTTACCTTGGCTTCCTTTCTGTCCTTTGGGACCCTCAGGACCAGCATGTCCCATTGGACCTGGTGTGCCTGAAAGCAAAGGTCAAAGTCAGGATGATTATATTATGAAAGCACTTAACCATCCAAAGGAAAACGTGAAAATCAGCTGGTTGGTCAAAGAAAATGGCTACACACCTGGAATTCCAGGGAAACCAGGTTCCCCTGTTGATACAGAAAAATATTTTACTTTCATGAAACTGTAAAGGAAAAAATGGAAAACAGACATCTTTCTTGCTTACCTTTCAATCCAGAGTCCCCTGAAAAAGGCAAAAACAAATAAATTAATAAATAAATAAATAAATAACCATATGGATTCTCTTTACATTAAAAAAAGTTTCATTTATTTAGTTTTCATGAGAAAAAAACCTTTGTTTTACTGGTACCTTTAGGTCCAGGTAATCCCCTCTCTCCCTGCACTGAGGATGCCAGGAAGCCTGAGTCAGAGAAGAGGATATCAGTCAATTGAATTCAGAGCACGCATGTGGGAGAGTGTGTGTTTGCACTTTACCTCTGAATGCCTGTGACTGCATTTCTGACCTCAACATTTGATGGATGGCCATCTGAAGGAAGGCGCTATCTATGTATCTTCCACTCACTGCGGTCCCACCGCTGACACCACCGCTGGTCCCAACACCGGTGCCAATGACGAAACCGGTACCGGAACTGCCGGTGCCGCCGCCAAAGCCGGTACCGGAACTGCCGGTGCCGCCGCCAAAGCCGGTACCAGAACTGCCAGTGCCGCCACCAAAACTGGTACCGGAACTGCTGGTGCCGCCGCCGAAACCGGCACCACCTGCACTGACACCGTCACTGAAACTGGTACCAGCACTCCCAGCACCGCCGCTCAAGTTGGTACCAGCACTGCCGGCGCTCCCACTGAAACTGGTACCAGAGCTGCTACTGGAGCTAGTTCCAGCTCCAACAGCCCCTCCAGCACCTCCGGCACCCACAACGCCGACATCAGCATCATTCCGACTGGCAGATCCGCCTGCACCAGCACCAGCAATAATGATTTGCATTTTGGAGTCCGAGCTTCCACCTCCACCTGCACCTCCGAATCCGTGGACTAGTGTGTTGTCAGTGCCGGTGCCTCCACCTCCACCGCTCACATAGGTGTTGATGTCATTGGAAGAACCCGACAGCCGACTAGTGTGAGCATTGGCGACTGAGACCTCGGTCTCCAGAGTCGACACTCGCTTCTTGAGCTTCCTCACGTCCTCGGCTGAAAGAATGAAAATTTTCTGTGTTTAATTTGACAAATTGTTTGTATTTTTCAGCATACTTAAGGCACCAATTCACAACAGATACATTTACATCCTTAATCAGCATCTAGGACATCAAAAAGGATGCGAGAAGTAACTTGTGCTGTCAAAATGGCATTACGTAAACGCATAATCTACTTGTGAGAAAAAGGCAAATTAACCGTAAAATATCGTTTGTTAGTGCACAAAGCCGTAGACAGAGGCAAGGCTACGATGTGATGTAATATTATAGCTGCAAACTTTCATGTGTTTTATTGCAATCTTATGTGATGGACCAGCACAAAGTGATTTATAATTGTGAAGTGAAAGAAAAATTCAAAATGTGGTACACATTTTATGCAGCCGTCTTTAGTCTTCCCCAAAGTAAAATTAATTTCATCCGACTGAAGCTCCCTATTGAGTAAATAGGGTCCATCTGTGTATAATTTATCTCCTTGTAAATCAATCTGTTCTAGAAACCCACAGCCAGATCTTGGGAAGATTTGTGGAGAAAGTAAACAGCATCCACAGCTTTAAACAAACAGAAAGACTATGGTGCAACATGCAAAAACACCAAGACAAGGCTGCCTACTTAAACTGAAAGGTCAGACAAGGAGAGCATGTATTAAAGTATTTAGCCAAAAAGCCTGTGGTAACTCTGAAGAAACTGTAGATCCACAGGCAGAAACGTGACAAGGTGAGACAAAAGAAACTAATACGAAGTACCATTTGCAGTTTGCGATAAGCCATGCAGGTGCATGGTGAGAATGTGGAAGAAAAGCTGAGATTTTGGTCAATATGCCAAAACAGCGTGTGGTAGAAGACCACTACTGCTGGTCAGAGATGATGGGAGGTGGAAACAGCTAAATACAGGGCAACTCCGGAAGAAAAGCTGCCAGAGGCTGAAAAGTACTTGAGACCTCGACCAGAGGTTCACCTTCCAACAGGGTAACCACCCAAAAGATGCAGCCAGAACTACAATTAAATGGTCCAGGTCAAAGCATTATGTGTGTGTTAGAAAATGGCCCAGTCAAACTCCAGACATAAATCCAAAACACACACTAAGACTTAAAAATGCTCAAACCAGCGAATATTTCAGTCTCTGGATGTGCAAAGCAGTCACAGAAAAGGTGATGCTAGTTAGTATTGACTCAGGAAGGGTGAATGAGGGGAATATAAATGCATGCCACACTTTTCAGATGTTTTGATTTCTATTCCATTTCTCACTTTACATGCACTTCTTTGTGTGTATCACATAATGTGCCAGTAAACAATATGCTAACAGATACTTCTGTGAGGTTTTTAGTCACCATAATCTACCGGCAGTAGAATTGGTTCTTTATTACAAATCAGTGCTGGAGTTTACAACCAGACAATCAAATACAGCTATAAACCTTGCTATTTCCTTGAAAGAGCGTTTTCTGGCACGAGGTGGTGTAGCTTCAGTTCAGGCAGGAATCTTTCTTGGTGATAATGACATTGGTACTCAGGGGAGAAATATCAAGACGGAAACCTTGCTGTCGGAGTTACAGTGAAAGGAAAGAATTTTAAAGTGACGCTTCCTCCATCCGTTCTCTCTCTGGCAGTGAGACTCCAACAGTTTGACTTAGTTTTGGTCATGAAGAGTTTAAATTTCTTACATTTGGAATATATTCATTATCAAATAGGCCTACAAAGAGTCTTTTGCTAACAAAATGCTTCTCACACTCATTTGGCAACATGTTTGTAACATAATCTGCAGCTGTATTATAAAATATTCAGGTTTTTTTTTTCTTTCTTTTTTGTTTTTAAGAAACTTGATGAGTTTCTTTGCACATATTACCTGCATGCTACTCTTCCTCCTGTCAAGTATTAGTGTTTAGCTGCTAAAGTCAAAGTTGGACTTACAGCACCTTTGTGAAAAAATATATGAAGTTAATCTGCATGCGTCTTTAATGAATAATAAATCAGTCAGTCGTATACTTTGATGCTGCTGAACAATTATTGTATGATGAGTTTTGGCGCCAGTTTCTCTCTACAGCCTCCAAACTTAACTTTGCTATAAAAATCAAAAAGGGAATTAACAACAAAACCTAAAGTTAAGGAAAAGTTAAGTGGTCTTTTACAAAAAGCATTTATTCAGCGGGGCGATATTAACATGAGTGTGTTGCTAATTAAAAGCTAACCATGCTATGATCTGCTACATTTAGTAAGTTAATAATAACTTTAAAAAAAAGAAAGTAGATTTTACAGTTCTGTTTATCACATTTTTGTCTGGAGGCAGATTGTTGACTCATTCACTGCACAGAGATCTTAGATGAGTCGTGTGATGAGATGTCACCAAGCAACAATTTCCAAAGCTGCACCAATGAATGCCAGACTTTCTGAGAGCGAGGGAGCCGTCCAGCGATCAAATTTCCAAGAAAAGGGACCACATGTACTGTCTCACAGTGCTGTGAAATAACCTTCTCCAAAGCTAAAGCAGCACATTCTTCGGGCCTAAAAACACTCTCTGACACCTTGTGGTGCTGAAACTCTAAACTCTCAGGACTGAGGTGGTTTCTTTGGGGACACATTTATTTTCTTAGTATTACTTTAATCAAATTAATGCTTTTACACGCCTCTTACCCAATGCAATGAGGCCAAACAGGAGCCCGAGCAGAAGCAGGCAGAGGAGCAGCAAGCCCAGCAGCCACTTCCACCAGGAGCAGCAGGAGTCGGAGCAGCAGCACAGTCCTCCTCCCCCAAAGATGCCGCTGTCTCTGCGGATCTCTGCGGAAACAGCAGATTAACCCGAGGAGTTAAATCCCAGCTCTGATCAGTCGTTTTAATCTATCAATATAATGTTTTTTTCTAATTTAGAAAACAGAAGAAAGATGCTAAAGGTGGTTTCAGTTCAGTTTGTGATAATAATGCAAGTGAAGCTCCAAATGTTTCAGAATTAACACCTAAAAGCCTCTGATGAACGCATCACTAAAACTATACCTGCATAGGTTGCCTTGTCTTTCATCAGGACTCCGGATGATCCGTCTGATGGGGAGAAAAAACAAACAAAAAAATAAATAAATCTCCACTATTTACACAGAAAACTAATATTTCTGAAAAGAGAGGTAGAATTTATGCTTACAGTATGAATTGCCTGTCTCTGCTTTCAGAGTGCCCGTGTCAACGTAGCTGGAAATAAGCTTCTCCTTCTTTATTGAGTCTCCTGAAAGTGAACCTGGAGGATAAAGGGAAACAATCACTCAAAATGAGCTTTTTGCACAATCCAATTATATCAATAAACTTGGCTGCCCCCTTGTGGTGAGCACATGGTAAAACAAAATACTGCTATACAGATCATGTGTGGTTTTGCGATTGTAACGTGTTACGTCACCAACAGTAGCGTTTTTTGATTTGTGCAAAATCCAGGGCACCACTGAGTCATATGGCTACACATTAGGAGGAAAAAATAGCCTCTTTTTCAATTGCCTACTTATGTATTGGGACAGCCGGAAATTGGCACCCCTTTCAATATAAGTGCTGTACGAAAATATAGGGTTACAGCACAGCCTGTTAAGTAGGCTCTGTGTTTGTGTTTTACTTTTTTTCCCATTCTGACGCAAGAAAATAAACTGAAGTGCTGTGTCTCCTCCGAAGACATGAGACATGCCTCTTTTTCTCCATAAGGGGGCATGAGTTCACCACTCACCTCCAGCTATATGAGTGCTGCTGGTGGTGGTGGTAAACTGCTTGCCACTGTCTTTTGCCAGAATGAGCATTTCTCCCTCCCTCCTGGCAGGAACGTTCTCCTTTTCAGAGGCCATATATCTGTAGTCTCTCTTGTAGACGTCATCGGTTTGGGACCTGGTGGCTAAAGAAGATGAAACCCATTCAGAGGCCATTTCAGTTAGATAAATCGTGCAGCTCCTTAACATTTTTTTTAAATCCAGACAAAAAGGCAATCTCTTCTATGCTTACCTGTAGAGATCCCAGAGCTTATGACAGCACTGCCGTTTGACACGTTCTTCTGGACGCCATACCCTGTCAAATCAAACATACTCTCTAAATAAAAGATCTGTTTTGGTTTATTATTGCCTGGTAGATGTCTGATACTCCACAGGCTAGCAGCCATTACCTCCCAGGTTAGTGGTTACGTTGCCGCCGCTGGTGGTGAGCACACCGATAGAGGTGGGAGCCAGATTATTCTGAAAGCCATAAACTGGAAACGCAGACGCAGACACAGAATGACGAACTTAACCAAAGACTTTAGCAGTTTGTCTTTTGTTACTCTTCTGGTCAATTAAAACATATAGTGCATAAAATTAATCTGCATATTCCTGTAGGCATGCCTCCAATTGATGGTTCTGACCTGACAGAGATTGCTGTGGGACGGGGCTGAGCGGCGGGGCGCCTCCCGACATGTTGTTGGCGCTGACCTGACCGAGCTGGTAGGTGTAGCTGCTGGTGTTGCCAGCGACGACGGTCGTGGAGGAGGAGGGCAGCGTGGAGGTGGACCAGGAGAAAGTGGGAAAGGCTGAATCCAGGGTGTCGTATTGGCCTGATCTCCCGGCGGTGTCGTACTGGCCCGATTTCAGACTCATGTCATATCGTCCAGATTTCAGGCCGGTATCGTACTGACCTGAGCTCAGGCAAACGTCATACTGGCTTGACTTCAGACCAGGATCGTACTGACCTGAACTCAGGCTAACGTCATACTGGCTGGATTTGACTCCAGCGTCACAGTGGCATGACTTTACTGTGACAGTGTGTTGGCCTGTTTGGACACCAGAGTCGCGCTGCCTGGATGTCAGTCTGCTGTCGTAGAGGCCCGACACGTCGATGGTGTTGAACCCATTCATCTGAGCAACAGGCTCAAACAGAGTCGAAGCTGTTGGAGAAAATCATCAAACTAATAAAAATGAGAGAAATGAACCTTACATTATTCGTTTTGTCTATTCTTATCATATTTTTATTAGAGCTAAGTATATTTTGTATAAGACTAAACATCACTAAATGATCATTTCATAACACTAACAAGCTGAAATTCACACTTCAACAAACACTGTAAATCCGTCTTATTTAAAAGTAACTCAGTTTGCAACCATGAATTACATATATGTAATATATCTATGTATTATATATAACACAATTTTAAATCAACGCGGTTGCAGATGCCAGTTATGTGTTCAATAATTTTCTAGTTACTCATTTCATGTTAAACATTAATTATAATTGTTTTCCTTTATTTTGTGTGATGCACAAAGATACTGTCCATCAAACAGTGATCTTGCCTGTAGAAAACACCTTTTCAATCAAGTTTACCCTAATATTATTTTTCAGTTTTTTTGCCATAAATTTGCAAACATTTTCATGGAGCATACTTAATTCATTCAAATGTTCCTTTTCAATTGCTTCAAAATGAACAAAAATATTATCCTATTAAGATATCACACACTACTAAGGTTTTACTCCTTCAATCCATTATTAAAGTCGTGTTTTTAGATCCCATAATGACAAACATTTTTGGACTTTAAAGGACAAGATGCCTGGCAGTGACAGTGGGACAAATAGCAATCTAGATTAAATCATCTGGGTCAGAGACAAAGTGTCTATGAATGTGCTGCACATGCATAATTGTAGCTCCGGTAACAGAATATACCTGACTGAGTGGCCACTGAGACGGTCTTGGTCTCCACGCTGGCTTTTTTAGGTACTGGCAGGGTGACTGAGGCGGAGGAGCGGGTCGGACTGACGCTGCTGGAGCGTCCCTTCAGCAGCTTCTTCACATCTTCCAACTCTGCCCCTAACACGCCACGGCAATGTACAAAAAGCGTTCAAACAACTCAAACAGCAAATCTAATGTCAGTGGAAACTTAACTTTAATTATAAAAATAAGTCAAAAGAAAAATCTCTGAATAAATAAACTCCTGAGGCACTAAACCTGCCTGCATAAAGGTTTCAGGTTCAAAGGCTTGTAAAGCAAAATTTGCTTTGTTAGTTTTGCTCTTTGTAGAATTTTATTGACTGAAAATTATTTTTTATTGTTTATTTCTCCACAGAAATCTTAATGCAATAAAATAATCGTGGCACTTTTGAAACATGCGTTTCTTGTAATGCAACAACAAAAACTCATAATGAGTCAAAAGCTTTAGCAATGACGCTAAGGCAGTTAGCTTTGGCAGAAATTTAGATTTCATGTGATTTTCTTTTCTCTCTCTAAACATCAGTTGTTCATGGATTTTGTTCATTACCCAGCTGGCCTAAAGAAGTCACTTCATCATGGATAACATCATGGAGATAGATCGAAGCTAGCTCAACCAAGCTAGGTTTTGTTAAACAGTTAGCTGTTTCTCTGTGAAAAAAACAGGTTAAAATGTATGCAAAAATGTAACTACACAACAAAATTAACAAATAAGTGGTAGTAATCACTATTAAGTATAATACTATTATAAATTCTCACTAATCTAGTCAGCTATATTCCTTCTTTTGAGTCTACGTCTTTTTGGGTTATCAAACAGAAGTTAGCTAAGTTGTTTTCCAGAAGTGTTTATTTTTTTATATGGAGGCAAAATGCTGCATTTATAATGAGCTATAGTAAGGCTTGTGATGTAAATCATTTCAGTGTTTTTGTATATTCAGTAAAACTGTTTTTAGTTTATATGTTGCAGAACCCCACAGTGGGGAAAAAATGTAAAAGGTAGAAGTTTTTGAGAGAAAACATTTTTTTTACAATCATTTTTGCTATGCTGTGTAATTTGAGGAATAGCACTTCTTCTACCACAATGGAAAAGTCAGAGACCCGTTTAAGAGTCCAAAGGGGCGCTGAACAATTGTTATATCACTGATTGAATAACAGTAGTTACTGACTTTAATCAGCAGGGGGCGCAACGAGCAGCACTTCTCCTCCTGGGAGAACAAGAACAGGAGTGACTCATTTGTACCATTCCTGCCACCGTGATCTGGCCCCTTTTACTTTTTCCCCACATTGTTTTACTGTAGAGCAAGTCAATGCTGTCACTGTTTCAAACCCGCCCTCACTGTTTTTTGTCCAAAAACTAACTATACATGTGTAACTAATAGAAAAAATGTCAAGGCATGTGAGAGCTGGAATTTGACTTTGTGATATGCAGTTTTCGAGCCAAAACATCTGACAGCGACATAACTCAAAAACAAAAATCCCGCATGAGAAATCATTTAACGGCAATGCACTTCTTTGAAAGGACTCTTAGAAAACTTTTTTTTTTTTTTGGTGCTTTATGAGGAGTTGCGTAACAACTGCCAAAGGATCAGTGTCTCCAGTGGTCTTACATCTTCCGGCAGATGGGGAGGCACTTTGTAATCTGGCTCTGATCTCGCTCTCTGGGAAAAATAAAGGAAGAAATCAAAGCACACATTAGACTAAGGAATCTTGATTTAATAAAAAAAAAATGTAAAAAGAAACAGGTCAAGAAAATTTAGCGAGATGGAGCGTAAATAATAATGGGGAATAAACCTGAATACCTCTGCTTTCACTCCTCCCTCTTGTGGCGCCGGAGCCTAAGAAGGAAAATGGAAGGAAACATCAAAAACACATCTGTGAAATCACAAACTATTCGATACTATAGTAGTTTCAGTCTTACAGTAGTTCCCATAGTCTTTGCGTGAAAATTCTGGGGAGGAATTACCACTGGAGCTCCCTAAAAGTAAAACACATATGAAGAGTTAGCGCTCCCAGTGAGTCATGACCGTTTCCTTCAAGTCTTTTGTTCCCATTTGTGGCCGCCTCTGGTGGCAACTCAGGATCCTACCGTCGTAGCCTCCCGAGCGGCTGGCTATGGTCTTCCTCTCTCGGAAACCTGGCGACAGCCCCACTGATGTCCCTCCAGTCTGAGCTCTCCTGGCACCGCCCGACGAGCTGGACCGAACCTTTGACACGGAGCTCACGAGATAAGTGCTTCCACTGCTTCCTCCTCTCCCTCCTCCTCCGCTCCCATAGCCCTCTCCATCGATGTAGCTTCCGCCACCTTCACCTCCTCCAGAGGAATCTCCTCCCAGGTAGATTCCTGAGGAGGAGCTGTAGTTACTCGTCACGCCTATAGAGGCTGGGGAGACAATAAATAAATACTTTTTAAATGAACTCGAATTTGAACAACCTAGGTGACTAAGCTCCAATAAGGTTCACATTATTGGAGCTTACATTTAAGATACTCCAAGTAGTGCACAGAAAATCTGAAAATTGCTTTCCTCCAAACGCTAGTCATAAAAACATTTCACCAAAATATGGATGTCATAATGATCTCAAAGTGGTATGTTAAAAGGACGTTTTCTGGATTTATGTTTTTTCTTCCTTGATTTATTTTTGTGTTCAGCATCAGTTATCAGTGCATCTTTTTTGTGTTTCAGTATGAAGACACAATGCCACAAGAGGAAAGGCTAGAGGATTGCCTTACTGTGCATTTAACTCTTTAGCATGTACAGTTTGCTCACCAGATAGGTTAAGACTACCACAGATATTTTGGACATGTTGAATAATCTGTGGCGCATTCGCACCACGGCCCTCATGCCTCATGCGACTGCAACAGAACCGATACAACTGTCTTTCAAATATCACTGGCAATAAACTAGGATTTAATCTCCTACCACACTATGCTGTCTGAGCTAATAAAAGTTCACTCACCTCGGCATCCCGGATCCTTGAAATTGAAAAACTTGACCTTTTTATCTGAATAAACTGACTAATAGTTATTTGACCATGTAGGGGTGATGATAGGGCGTTAAAATTTCATCCCTACATGCCCAGGTGATTTGTGAATCCATAAAAAAGACAAAACAAAGATATCGCGGTAAAAACTTTTGAATTCCACACAAAACTTAGCAAGTTAATAGATTTTTTTTATTTCTTGGAGTGAAATGATTGATCATTTTTTCTGCCTGATAACGTGCATTATCCTAAAGTTGAAAAATCTTTCCCTTTTGCTAATATTTTATATGTGGCATTTGGCTTATTAAGAACTGAAATAGCTCAATTGCAGTATAACTCTGCTTTCCGTTTGTTTGAGCGGCCACCGCATCGACTTTAGATTGCCTCCTTCACTTTGCCTGGAAGCTCTTTAAAGTTTCTCTCTTGCACAAGCCCAGAAATCTTCTGCTCTACCAGGGGCTTAAAAATACAACATCCCCAAACGTTTGCTTGGAGACAAACCCACAACTTCCCACAACTTAGCCGACGAGTGGAAAGTTGCTCTCACATGAGGAGAAGTAGGTTCCACTGCTGTTCTGCGTTAAGACATTCTTCTCAAAACCCAGCCCTCCGGCACCGCTGGACATATTCCTGTGATTTGATCCGCTGGTTCCCTCTGGCAACAAGAAGACAAACAGCAAAACAAAAAGAAGCTGTTACTCATCGGCTACTTCCTTTAGAAATAGCTAGCCTCGTGATTTTATTACACTTTTTGCTGTATACAGACAACAATATATATAAAAAAAAAGGCGAAAGCAGACTCACTTGGTGGGAGAGAAGTCAGTCGGGTGGAGGAGGTTACGGTTTCTGTCAGAACTGATGAAAAGACAAACAGTAATCACTGTGTGCTGTGTGTTTGGTCTACTTCTGCGAGCTTCGTCTTATTTTAACAACTGCAGTGTTAGTGCTCTGACTGTTTTCTAAACTGATGCCCGGTTTCAGTTCAGGCAGCAGCAGCAGCGGCATATTTTCTCAATAACGCCATCAAACGAGGCGTCTCGAAACAATAAATTCAACTAACAATGTTTAATAGATGAAGGAGAACAATGACTGTGTTGACTGGTTTGAGTTTATTCTTGTACAACACAGACACTTTGAGTTTCTTTGTTTATTGGACAGTTTTTGGCCTCATCAATTCACTCAGGTCTCTTATTCTTGAAGTTGGAATAATCTTCCGATGCAAACTTTGACCCTAATGAATGACAACTATGTAACTACAGTTAAAATTCCTGACTGCTGAGTCATAAATAAAGTGCACCAAACTGTAAAACTATTTGACAGGTCAATGTTTTCTGGTGGACAGATCAAGCCCAGGGCACAACGTTACATAAAGTACTTTGGGCTCTCAGGCCAGCAGGGGGCTGGCAACTGTGAGCAACAACAAACCCTAAAATTTCAAATTTCTAAGTAGTTTATCATGACTGAGCCTTTTTAATCAGTTTTGAGGCAAATGGGAAAATGTATTTAAGATTTAAATATATCTGGTAAGTAAAAGGAAAAACACAAATCCCTATTTGGATCTTTAGACAAAGACATTTAAATGAGTCACGTTGAAGCTTTAAGTCGGACGAAATGAGTCAGAGATGTAACTTCGCCTCCACAGTTATCTGATAAATAATGTAGAGAGAATCATTTTGGATGGTCAAGAAAAACATTTTGTTGTAGGGTCAATTTATTCCTCTAACTTGTAACTCTTGTAACTAGGAATGTCAGATGCAAACAATAAAGTTTGGATGATTGTAAAAATAGACTTTAGTTGTGCTGTGGGCCCACTAAAATTTTGCGCCGCCTTTGCTGGTGGATGTAAGACAATTTTATGCTCCAAATGTGACGGGATCCTGAGGTCTTTGGCTGTGATTAATTAAATCTATATTTTCACTGGAACAAAAAGTAGACTCGGATGTAGAATATAAGAAAAGCCAACGTGAGCTCACCTCAAATCAAACATTTCTTTTTTTTTCCTAATAATCCATCTGTGGACTGTCTCTGCATGTCAGAATCTGTCTTTTTACCTGGCTGTTTTTATCTGTGAAGATCTGAAAGTTCATTAGCCTGTTAAGGTCAAAGCGTATGCGACATTGTTTGGTTGTTTCTTTCCACAGTAACTTGCTGTGACAGCTTGTGCCTGTTATGCAGAAGCTACAACATTAAACAGAACTCATCCTGCAGAATGACTCTCAGAAGTACTATGCACAAACAACTCCTTCCTAATCCGTGTGCATGCTTGCAGCGAACTGCAATTAGGATCTGGTTTTAGAACAACCGCAAGGCAGGAAATTAAAGCTTTTGCGAAATGATTATTTGTCTAGTATAGGTTGTAAATTGTAGGCGACCAAAAAAAAAAAAAAAAAAAAAAACATTTTGGACCAAATTTTTCCCTGCGCTTTGCTGGCTTCCCTTAAAGATAATGTTCATTCCACTTGGATTTCACGTCGCCTCTTTGTCCTCCTCCACGTCTGTCCTCCTCCTCCTGCTGCTCTCCTTCCTTTTAGGGATCTCCGTCTGTTTCAGAGTCGAGGCTAAAACCTGATCATTACTCTGCTGCTCTTGACGTTTGACTGTGGAAACAAAATCTCACTGCCGTTTCTGTACAATAACAGTCCAAAAACGGATTTTTATGACGATCAGCCAGACCGCATTTTTGTCGGTCCTTCTCTTTTGTTACAGCACGGTTCGTTCGAGTTAGAGTTTTGTGTAGACGTTAAGACTTGCTGTAGGCCTCTTAAATAATCAATTCAGTAAAGGTTGTTAACGAACTTTAGTCCCAGACAACAAGTCTGAGTTGATTCTTTAGGTTTTGAAGCACACGTGCATCTCAGGTGTTTGTTTTTATGACTTGAGCTGGCTGGAATCCCCTTCTCCAGCTGTGTTGTATTTTTATGTTGTATTTCTGGCTGAAATACACAGATGCTGTCCACTTGTTGAAATTTATTCTAGATAGTCCTAATATTTCCTATTCTTATGGTATGTTTCTTCCTAATAGTCGACTCAGTTCTCAATCAAATGTATCTTTCCAGGTGAGTCAACATTGCAAAAAGTTTGTCTGATTTGAATTTAAAAAATGAAATGTAATCTTAGAACATTGGGACTTACTTTATCTAAGAAAAATACGCACTCTTTAACCCTATAACTCTAGAAATGCATCATTTTTGATACAATTTGTCATACTATTTTCCTCAAAACCTGATTTATAAATGTGCCGCTAAATATATTTTACACATTCTTTATAAAGATACAAAATTCTGCTCAACTATGCCATCAGCTATGCACAATACAGACATCTACTGTGAAAGCCTAACGTATCAAATACAATGCAAAAAGGGGGAACTTGATAGGGAAAATGTCAATATTTCGAGGAAAAGGTACTGATTTGTTTCAAATCATCCAACAAACACATTAAAAAAATCTAGAATTACATTAAAAATTTTTTTCTTACATCAGGCTTCAAAATGTCAGACCGAAGCTAGAAGAACACTCACTACCATTTTGACTCTTGGGGTTAGCAGTTTTCTCTACAGTAACATAAGCAGACGGAGAAGCTGATTACACACTCCAACTCAGCTACCGTCTGACATTTACTCTTGTTTGCTGGACTTGAACAGCTGCAGGCTTTCACATTTAGCTGCAAGTTGTGTAAAAAAAAAAAAGAAAAAAAGAAAAAAAAAGAGATATCCAGAAAATGACGACCCGAACGCCGAGATGTGGAAACCAGTAAAAAAAAAAGCGTGCATGGTGTTAGTACGGCTTCAAAAAGAGGGAAACACAACCATCACCAAAGGTGAAAAAGTTTCATACAAGTTTCGAATGTTTATTTTATAAAGTTTCCACTAAAGTTTGTCACTTCACTCTAAAAAATAAATTGTTGTGCTCTTGTTTTTTTTGTTTGTTTGTCATCTTAAACACTTTGTGATTAAATCAAGCATTCTCACCCTTTTCTCCCGAGATCTCCATCTGCTTTGTTAACTCGTCCATCCCATCTTATCTAGTGAGATGGTGACAGAAGAAGAAGAAGAAGAAGAAGAAGAAGAAGAAGAAGAAGAAGAAGAAGAAGAAGAAGAAGAAGAAGAAGAAGAAGAAGAAGAAAAAAAAAGACATTGGCCACCGTCATGCATATTCTGTTAGTCTTTAAATGTGGAAAATAAGATTTCAACAACTGTTTGATGAGGAACAAGAAACAGTGTTGTGCTCGAATGAAAGGGGAAGGGGGGAGTCGTAAGAACTCTAAGCTGCTTGTTTACAGCAATCAATTGAAATTTCATCCAGCCCAAAACTGGAAAACGTCCCCCCACATCAGTCGCATGATCATATTTTAAAGACCACAGTCGAATGCCTCTGCGGCTCCTTTTATTTGGACATTGGCCTCCAGTGGTATTAACTGAGACACTCCCCTCTGTGAAGAAAACTTTTTCCTGCCATGCTCACCTCTCATCTGAATGCTGAAAACCACATTAGACCCACGATGGATCATATACGGAGCACTTTTGTGTCCTTGGAAACTAAAACAACAAAGACACAAAAGGAGCTGAGGCGGATCAGTGCACAGTTCTCAAAAGATCATCCTCCGACCACACCCAGGCAGATAAGGACCTCTAACTGCATTGGTATTCCTGTTCGGGGGCTTGTGATGCTGAAATCACACCAAGGTCACAGTCACTGTTATAAACACATCTAGAAACATACATTTCCTCATCTGTTCTGAAAGTAAAGATAAAAAAAAAACTGACACATACACACCCATCATAAATTAAATGCTATTAGCATCCTATTAAAGTTTCTATAAACTCATCCCCCTTTTTATAGCATGTAACTGATCCGGGCAGCAATTATTAAGGGTTGATGTATAAAGCCACAGCTGGGACAGGTCCTCTGGAATATATTTAGAAGGATGTGAATAGCACAGCAAAAGGGGGTGTTCTGTAACAGAAAAACGATCCTCAAAAAACCCCCTGGTGGATTTAACAAACAAGCCGAGAAGTACTTTCCAGGAGGAAGCCAAAGGGAAGCTAAAGTTATTCCAGTCTGTAAAACTAACACGACAGCCCGTCACCAAAACTCCCAGAGCGCAGTCGTTAACGCAGAGATGCAAGAAAGGCCAGGTGCAAGAAAAAAAAAAAAAAAAAACCCGCACATCCAACATAAGTAGGCTTTAGACAATGAAAGGGGGAAAAAAATAAGTTTTAAAAAAGAGAAAAACTTCCAGCTTCAGTGTTATTCTCCATACCTTCAAGCACTCTCCTTGTAGCAGTCGGGTTCCTCTCAGGACGCAGAGACTTATCCCGTGGAAGAACAATGCGTCAGTGTGGAGCTGACGCGCAGAGCGTGCGGGGATGTTCCCCCAAACTCCCTTCGCTTCTTTTGTGCCTTTTCGCTCAACTTTCCCAGGCGAGTCAAAACACAGATTTGGGCTCCGGTCCCAGCCGCGCCCATCGGAGCTGCAGCTTGGCAGGCAGGTGTGGCAGACGGCACGGGAAGCTGAGTATTAAAAAAAAATATAAAATAGAGCCTGAGGGGGGTTGGGGGTGGGGGGGACAGATAAGCAATTAAGTTGTCATATTCTCTGCCCCTGCAGGCACAGATTGTCGACTGAGGGGCCCGGGGGGAGAAAGAAAGGAGATAAACTCCTCCTCTTCTCGCTACTGCTTCACTGCTGTGGTCACCAGTTTAAAAACGGGCAAAGTTTTTGGGCGGAGGTGGTAAAAAAGAGAGAGAGAGGGGAAAAAAAGTTAGATTTGGGAGATGTGATTTTCTCTCTCTCTCTCTCTCTGTCTGTCTGTCTTTCTGTGTTTTTCTGAACAGAAAATAGAGGGGGCTGTCTCAGGTTGTGCTGATCTGCAGTGGGCAGTAAATCCATTCGGCTGCAGCTGCAACACATCTGGCCCCCATATTGAAATAAGAAACTTAACTTTTGCTCCATATGGCTTCAGACAGTAGGTATGGCTGAGTGTTTTCCAACATACGCACTCAGTTTTGGAGGGTAAAAAAAAAAAAAAAAAAAAAAAAAAAACCCCCAAGGGGGGGGGGGGTCCGCTCCGCAACAACTTTTTTTTTTTTTTTCGGGTTTTTTCGTTTTGG